CTTCTACCAAACTGATGTTATGTAAACAGCTCTTCTGCAAATCCCGACTGATCAGACATTCCTCCACATTAAAAAAAAAAAAAAAGTGGAGCTTGAGAAAGACAGACCATAAGATATAGTTCTATTGAAAAGCAATGAAGAGTATGATCACTGTAGACCTGGTGTAATAACAGCAGCTGAAAGAATGACTAGCTGTCATCCCACAACATGTGCATTTTCACTAAAGAGCATGAAAAAAAAGACACATCCATGAAACACTTCTGCCACAAACCCACAGCTAAAGCAAAACGGTATCTGCACTGCAGCGAGATAAGCAGAGCAGCACTTCAAAAGATGTAAACTGACAGCAGTGAAAAAGAAACAGTCTCTGTAATCTTATCCAAGGTACTCCTAGATCTTTTCCTGTCCCCAAAATCTTTATCAGCTTCATGACACAACCTAAAATATGATAAATTATAATCTGTTTGACACAAACACAAGTCAGTCACCTCAGCTTTGTGTTAGATCACTTGTAGTATGCATGCCTTGACTAATACAGCATGACCACTTTGAGACTTGGACTACAATATGATCTGTTAATCTAGTCTAATGCGATGTATTCATTTAAAAAGTGTGATGCTGTTGTTTCTTATTTGAAAATGTCAATCCTTACCAAGCCCCCAAAACAACTTCTGCAGATGCATGAGCTCACTGACAGAAGGATACATTTTGATGGCTCCTGACTTTGTCCCGATGGCCATGAGCTGCAACTTGGGGTCAAAGGCCAAAGCACTGGGCTGATGGGGGAACCCATGCTCCACAGTCTGTGAGAGAAAGCCAGGCAGAGAAAGGGTAGAGAAGACAAACTGATGAGACAGATTTATCAAATGCCACAAGAAATACAACAACAAGTACACTTGCATTTATTTTTCCAGACTTTCCTCCATAAATGCACCCAGTTCTGTCTGAGAGTTTGCGTGTCATTTTCTGCTCATCAGACTCGCTGAATATAGTCAGCGAGGCGTCTAAAAGGGAGGACTCCCTTAATAAAGTTACAGGAAAGTAGTTTAAAAAGTACTGATGGCAGCAGCATTGCTTTATTGTAATGTGCTGCAGACCTTGTTAAATTGGGTTGAAATAAAATTTCAGCTTTTTTCTCTCCAAGCCCATGTCAGGAGATGGTGAGACAGCTGGAGAAGTGTTTATGTCAACAAAGAAAAAGGGAACAGAAACCAGTAGAGAGACACCTAAAACTGGTTTAAAAACAGGTTGTGGAGGTCTTCGAGGTTTCGGCATGGCTAACTGAAAAAACTGAGCCTGGCTGTTTGCTTGAACTCAGACATAACGTAAAACATTAACTCCTTCTGTCTTTAAAGTGCCGGTGCAGTGCGATCTGTCTCTATCACACAAACACAGTCACATCAAAACAACCCTCCTGAAGAGAGACAACGTCTGTGACAGTCTGACAGCTGCTGCCAAACATTACAAAAGTGTGTGTATGCGCGTGCGTGTGTGTGTGTTACAGCAAAACAAACAGTCCATGGACTTTCATCAGAGATTCAAACAAAGAATCATCATTTGGCTAACATGAACATAAGCTGTTTAAGTGTCTCCCCACCTAAAAACTGTGAGGTCTGTAAGTATTTGAACAAAGACAACATTTTTGCAGCTTTGGCCTCTTTACAACTCAAAGAAGATATGATTCAAGTGTAGACTTTCAGTTTTCTTTTCAAGGCGTTTAACAAAAGTGTTGCATTAACCGTTTATGGATTACAGTAAGTTTTATACACAGTCCCTCATTTTCAGAGAGTCCAAATTAATTGGATGGGCAGGTGAAGCCTGTTCCCTCATTATTCCATAACAAAATAGCAAATAAAAGATCAGTAGTTGATGTCCCATTTGGTACCTGTTTATTGGAATTATGGGTAAGAGATAAATAGAGATGTCAGTGCAAATGAAGGAGAAAGCTGAAAAAGTAAAATAAACCAATTAGAGAAACAGCAAAAACTTTAGAAGTGACCAAACAATCTGACACATACTTAGAAAAGCCAAAAGGCCTCAAAGACCACAGAAGACAACTAAAATGTTTCATGACAGAACTACTTTCAACATCTAACCGAGCAACAAGAACACTCCTTTGGAAGGGAGGTGCATCATCGCCACAGTCTAGTCTGACAGAAACAGCAGGATGAACTGTGACATGTACAGGACCAGAGCCTCTGCTCAGATCTAGCTGAAAACTGACCAGATGGTACTTCACAGTGAAGACAGTTAATGACTCAAAGCAGACTGCAAAAGCATCCCAAGAGTTTGTCAAGGAAAAATAAATATCAACTGATCTCATCCCAACAGAGCATGTCATTTTAGTTACTGAAGGAAGAGAGACCCTTGAACAAGCAGGAACTGAAGCTGGCTGCAGCAGAGGCCGAGGAGAGCGTCTCATGGTGGGAAACGTAACATTTAATGATCTCCATGGATTCCTTAAATCCCTCTTTTTTTTTTTCAATTTATTTTCAGTCTCTAAAAATGGATGACTGTGAATTAATATGGCTGTGAATTCTAAATAGTTAACGCAGCACTTTTGTTGAACCTATTAAAATGACCCTGAAAGTCTGCACTTCAACCACATCCCGGTTGTTTGATTTTAAATCCTCTGTGATGGTGTATGGAAGAAAAACTACAACAGAAAATGATGTCTTTGTCCAACAAATAATGGCCCTAACTGTACTCTCCTACCACAAAGGCATTTATCTAGTGAGCGATTCTCTCAGATGTCTCGTTTGGTTAGACATAATACAAAATATATTTATCAGATATGACTCGGCACTACACCAACTCTTGTTAAATCACTCTCGTCAACACATTTCTGATAGCTGTGTAACGGCAACAATGATGTCAAACTGATTGCTCTGGAGTTTTTGCCCGCCTGAGCCACATTCACACAAAAGCTTACTTCCACATAGGATATCATCAGGAATAAGTAACAGAAAAACAAAGAAAAAAAAAAAAACAATAACTGATCACACCTCATTTTTGAGAAGTTAACAAGAGCAATTACTTTCAAATTTGTGAGAGTTGTTTTATCCCATAACTAAATTAAATGAACAAAACAAACACCTGATCATTCTATTACCAAAAGACATGCTTGCTGATTAATTTTCAGTCAGATCCACCAGCTGACAAATCGACTATTTGCTGTGGCTCTAAGGAAAGCCACAATCTAAAACCATTCAATGGCAAACTCAATGAGGGCCTCGACTGGAATGCAGATACTGAGGCGGGATGGTGTAAGGACAGTTTGTCAAAGCGCTCATGTCACTGTGCTGGCCACAGTGAGCAATCTCATTCATGCTACTCAGACAACTGAGGTTACCCAAGTCTGCAAGGTCATGCAAGTACGACTCTAGGAGCCACGAAAGGCTGATTAATATTTTCCAGGACATGCGCTGGTTCGTGTTTTTTTATATTACTTATTCTTTCATTTGCTAAAATGGCTTAAAAGAGGACTCTTTTTACTTCAGAGTGCAAGTCAACTTGAAGTACTTAATTCTGGAGAAATAAATCTACTGTAGTGCTGATTCTTAACGATCATCAGTCATCATCGTGTTGTTTGCACCGCAGTCCTAAACAATCCTGCTGAGAAGGGTTAATGTCATTATCACATCCAGCGTGCAGGACAAACTTGATTCTTTTAACATTTAAAAGGTTCAGACAGCCCGGCTCTCTGGGACACTTTCTGAGACACAGCATGCAGACCATGCCTTCATCTAACCTGAGTTCAAGGCCACTGCAGTGCTCAGTATGAGCTTAGAAACAACCTGTTAGGTAAGTTACTACAGCTGACACTGGATATGCAGAATTATCAGTACATTCCACAGATCTGGGTGGTGCAAGCTGCTTTTATGTTCCCACCGGCGGAGCAACAGTGATCTGGGTGACAAGATTCAGCTTATACTGAAAGTGGAACTGAAATGAGCTCTTACATTGACTGTCCAGAGGGCAAACCCACCATCACCACCACTGAATGTTACCACAGGACGCTCAGATTTACTGTACATGAACTGGTTCATATCCATGTGGATGTGATGCCAGCATGAAACCTGACACTCGCGGCTGCACCCAAAGACCCCCAAGAACTGGAACAAGGGGTATGAGGACTCTGCATAACAAAAAGCAGCAGAGATTTAAAAAAAAAAAAAACTGCTCGCAGAGTTCTGGCAGCTTCTACTAAAACCAGACGAGAGGAGTAAAAAGTGCCATCACGCTGAGAGACACCCCTGCTCATTGCATGACAGATGGGTCACACCACACGAAGCATCAAACTGCTGGAAAAGCATGTATTGTAATTTAATCCCGTTAATCTGCATGCTGATAATCCCCAACACCCACACAATCCTCTGTTGCTGGTTAATTACAGCAATATTAGCGCTACAGTTTTCCTTGATTGCTGCTCGGTGCTCACTTTGAGCGAGGTCCTGGTTTGGGTGAGGGGTAATTAACACGCCGTGAAAACAACTCAACAGCCACTAAACACACATCAACAAAGCGCCCTGCAAACACACCACCCGCACTTCACAGCTAATCTGTTTTTCTGTCCGCGAAGTAGGACAGAAAACAGCAAGCGCAAGAGGAGTGGCCGGACTTCAGCTGCAAAGTACTGGCTTTTTTATATATCCATACTTAAAAAAATAAGTCTGTTAGTTTAGGGGAACCAGGCGAGAGGAGGAATACCATCTCCCTCTCTTTCCTCTTGTCCCGTTACTTTACCTTGTTGAAGGCGAAAAGCTCCTGTTTTATCTTCTCTCTCTGCGGGTCGGTGCCCTGCCGACGAAACCTAAACTTCATCATCTTCAAGCCGGTCACGGGGGAGGCAGGACCGAGGGGACAGAGAGGGTAACACGGAGGTATCAACCCGAGCTTCTCGGCGGGACTAGAGGCGGTTCGGCGCAGTCGGAAGATGCTAAGCTAGCTAACGGACTAGCCCATGCAGGCTGAAAGCGGGGGTACAACACTACTGCCTCTGCTGCGGCTCTCCTCCCTCCTCTCCCTCCTGGTGCTGTTTAGGTCCTGGTGGGTTTGACCACAGCAGCCCCCCTCCCTTCCCTCCTCTTCCCGGTTCACACGGATCCCGTTATTGGTAACCAATAGGGACGAGGAAATCTGCGAGCAATTACTCAGCAACGCCTACACAACCAAGGGCTCGCGAGACGGATGCTCGGTTTGTAGCACAGGATACACCGGCGGTATGTCCCAGCTGCTTGAGTTTGTACACTGCGACAACTGGGAGTTCCTTTAAACAAAATGGAACGGCCAGAGATTAAATAGCCAATAACGGCTAACTTTTCTCACTCGAAACTGTGGAGAAAATGTAAATATTTTACCTTAACTATTGTAAATTTGTTTTTTTAAGATGTCAAAAACTGGGTTTAAGATAAATAATGGAAGCAGACAGATTCAATCATGTTTGATTGACTACTTCAAACATGATTATACGTCCTGTTTAGGAAGAAAAACATGAAAAGAATAGTAACTCTGACCATTAATTTAAGGGTTTTTTTAGTAGTATTGTATTCACCAATGATTTTCCATACTCTTTAATTCCACCTAACTCATATACATTGCTGTGTATTTGCTAAAAAACAAAGTACTCACACACCACTACTGTTATACTAAAGCTTTAATTTATTATTCACATGCAATAATTATGTAAAACTGCTATTTGCAAAAAAATTTATTGTAAAAATAAAATATTTAAGTTAGTGCAAACTCTTAGTGATGTGGCCTCAAAGCTTATGTGCCAAAAAGACTTTGCCCCTTGGCAAAGCAGAGAATAAGAGATGTGTCAGAAAAAGTTCTTTATCCTATCAAACCAAAAGTTTCCATTAATGTCAAAACCAAGATGAGGTTATAAGGGTTTGTTTGTTATACAGCAATAAACTGGCGCCACCATTACACTAAATTAATGTTGTCCCAAGAACAAAGCAAATCATGCTATTCTTCTAAAGAGGGGGCATGGAAACAAGGAGACATTAACCCTTATAGTTATATTGGACAAGATCTTAAACATTTCTGGATGATTATGTAAAACTATAAACATTAAAGATTAAGGCATTCATTCAAGTTTCTCCTAAAACTAGAATGTGACTGACATGAATGACATTTTATGTGCCAAATCATTCATTAAGAAAACAGCTGATCAATTAAGAAAAAATAACATTTTCATGGCCATAATGGAAAAGCACTTTTTCAAAATCATCACAATAAACAAGTTATCAACTTACATAACAGTGCCTTTACATACAAAAATAACCTGTCTTACGAATAGAGGTAGAGTACATTTTTAAGGCATAAACTGTGATTTCTATGTATATGTCATCCTCGTGTTTGTGCTATAGGAGGGTGATTTCACTTGGTGGCAATGTGAGTCTCTTCTCTCTGACTGACAGCATGTTCTCCACGTGCATGGCGATGACTCGGCAAAGCTCCAGGCCCTGGAAAACATCATATAGAAACATTAAAGAAACAACACTGGACTTAAGATGAAGAGTGAATATAGACTGCTCAGTGGTACAGTTAGGGGCGAAAGGGGCAAAAGTTTGTGGACACTTTTTCCTTTTGTAATTTTTCTTGTGTACACCATCAGAGTGAATTTTAAATTAATCAATATTTGATTGAAGTCCAGACTTTCAGATTGATGCAGATTCAAACTGCAGATTATAACACATTAACTGCAAAAGCAACCCAAAAGTTTCTCAAGGCAAAGAAATGGGATATCTTTCTGAAACCAATAAAGCATGCTCTTCAGTTTTCAAATGCAAAACTGAAGGCAGAGACCCACAAATAAGCAGCAACTGAATGTGGTTGGAGTAAAAGCCTGGGGGAGCATCTCAAGAGAGAAAACTAAGCATTTGGTGATGACCCTGGGTTGTAGACTTCAAGCTGTCGTTGACTGCGAAAGATTTTCACAAATGGGGTACTGCGTATAAAAATCACTTTAATTCCTTAAAAGTTGATGCAACACTTTCATTAAACACCTTGAATTAAAGCTAAAAGTCTGCACCTCAGTCACATGTTGACTGCAGAAATGTGTCACTGTAAATACAGACACTGTTACACACACACACATCTAAATCTTCCATCTATGTCTTATACACCCACCTGCTCCAGCTGCAGCTGTGTGACACGCTGGTTAAGCAGGTCTCCTATCATGATCTCCACATATGGGTAACTGGAGCCAGATGTTGGCCTCTGAGTGCGAGTTGATTGAATCTCCTTCAGAGGAAAACGCACCATAGTCTCCTAATCACACACAAACACACCAATGTGCATATAAATAGGCATTCAGGGGACACACAGACATAAAATATAAAATTAAATATCTCAAGTTTTAAAGGTTATATTTTCTCTTGCACAGATTTTTTTTTTTATTTGTAATTTAGATTTTATTAAAAAGTGATGGATGGGAGAGCCAGTAAACACCATAACCAAGAGAGGGAGCCAAAAGCTTTGTTGAAATATAATAAAATTCCTGCCTTTTTTGTATTTTTCAATCACAATAGATCAGTAAAAGGGTAAAATGCTTGTTTGACTCACATGTGTATCCTTGTTAAGAAAATGAAGCCCGTTCAGATTAACAGCCAGGATGCATGGGGCGTGGACGGACGAAGAGCCAGAACTCTGGATGTAGAAGAAGGAGGAGCCAAACATGGGGAAGGCACTGACCAGACCTGGGCAAAAACACACCAAAGCTCACTTCTGATAAGCTGCCGCATTCAAATTGCGAGGTAAAGATGTTTACAGAAAATGTCGCGACAACTCAGCGTGCTTTTGAACATTTTCTTTCCCACTGGTCCAACAAAAATGCTCTAAGAAGACACCTTGCTGCACTCATATCAACTTAGAACTGCTATTTGGGATCAGAATAAGCCTTTTTTTTTGTTTACCAGATGTTTCAGATGTTTATCCTAATAGAATTGTGACAGAACATGCAATGGGCTTTGCTATTAACAATACAAAAGTTATTAATATTATAGGACATATGTAAAAGTTAAATGGCCAAATTGTGAGTATCTTTCACACTCACAAAGAACTGTTGTCTTACCAAGGAACTGCGCACGGGCCTGGTGTGGGTTTAAGGGCTGGACCTGCTGCATGTGTTGTGTTGTCATGTTCAGCCACTGCTGTGAACCCGGTTTGCTGTAGAACTGCGGAGGGATACACTCCTGCACCTCACGGCTAACACACACGCACACACAAAGAGGGAACAAGGTGTAATTGAGAGACAGCAGATCAAATTATACATGTGCATGTTAGGTGTATTTTTCTGTGCAAGCCGACAATGTGCAAAGCAGAGTATGGTGGCCCTGAGAGGTCAAAAAGACTGCAGCATAAGAAAAGGCCAGAAAAATACAAAAATGCTACAAAAGCACATAAAAACACAAAAATGCACAATGAAATTAAAAAAGAAACACACAACAGATGTAAAGCAAAAATAAAAAATAAAAAGATAAATAGCACAGTGGAATTTGGGGGAAAAAAAGCTCCCAAAACACAACAGAAGTGTTTTTTTTAGCAGAAAATCTTACAGAACAGCTGTGGAAATGAGAGAAACAGAGACATCCACAGGATTCGACTGAGACACAGAACCTGAGGATTTGTAGCTGTTGTGAGGAAGTAAAGTTGTAATTGAATGATACATATAACACTGTAGATGAATGTTTTATATTAGTTGTTCAACATACCATGTAATGGTCTAACCTGATGAATTTTCATTGTGTTTTGTGTGCTTTTGGAACATTTTTCTATTTGTGTTCTTTTACGTTGCAGTACGTTTGACCTCTCAGGGATACCGTACATTCTCTTCCACTGCTTCTCCAACCTGTAGGTTTCCCCAAGGTTCAGTCCTGGGTCTACTATTATTGTCTTACTACATTTTAAAGAGTGTTGTTATATAAAAACCCTTAGGTAACTAACTTAGTCCCTGGATGCAGCAGCAACCTTCTCAGCCCTTTGTGATATAGCCACAATATCAGAAATAGTAGAAAAGGGATATCTGGGCCAAACGTGCTCTTCTGTAAGTCAGCCATGTCTTACTGTTTGGAAAAAATTAAGCTACTAAAAGTCTCAATCACTGGTTTCTTTAGATAACTTTAATTTAAATCACTTTGAATCAATTTAATTCCTAAAAAGTGAATGGAACACTTTCATTAAACCATTTGAATTAAAGCTAAAAGTCTGCACTTCAGTCACATGTTGATTGCATAGATATGATTAGATATGATGGGTGACAAAAAATCAACATAAACCTACCTTTAATTTGTCCCTTGTATCACTAGTAACTTGCCCAAAAGTAATTGATATGCAAGTGTGAGTTGGTACATTAGCATGCAAAAGGTTTCCAACAACAAATGGATATATTTACAGGGTGGGGAGGTAGATGGTGTCTTTGGCACGATGCTGTAGGGCAGCCAGCCTGGTAATCTGCTGCAGATGCTGTTCACTGGGCTTACCCTGAGGAACCACACTCAGCAAGGCCTTCAGGTAGTCTGGCAACACCTTGAAAAGAGATGCACAATGTGCATTAGTCCGTCTTGTTTCTATGACAAATATCAACTGATGAGAAGACGAAACAAGATGTACTTCTATGCACACCGCCCGACCACAAAAAAAAACCCCTCATCAGGTGGTGATGACGTATGTGGCCACAAAAAAAA